TGCTCAAGTTCACGAGCGTTCCTAAATCGGACTCTGGTCCTAGAATACGATCACGGATTTATCACATCTTGCACACTTTCACCATTTTACTACTAATAAACATAGTACTAATAAAAAAAAGACCTACAGAACCACAAAAAACACACACACACACATTGTTTGCATAAATATACATTTGCAGAAGAATTAAAACCAGTATAGGAAGAAGATTTGACTTAGCCATTTGCCTTAGGTGTTGATATAACATAAAATTATATTTTTAAAATTTCCACTCTTTAAAACAGTGTATTTTTCTTTAATTAATCTTTTTTTATATTAAATCAGGCTTTTAAAGTGAATATTACAGAAATCAAATTAGCTACTAAAAGGCAGTTTATGAAATCCCCAGTCATTAATTTTAAATAAAATTTCTACAAACCCCCTACACTTTTTCAAAAATAAGTTTTAAGTATCAAAAGTCTTGCCTTTTAAATCATGTTTTGTATGAATAACTTTGCTTTGAACTCTGTAACAAATCAGCATCGTTTCTGTAGATAAGATCAAAGTGAACAAAATTTCTAAGAGATGCCAAAAATCAGAATTTTGTTTGCACTTCCTGGCATAGCTAATTACTCAGAAAAATGTTGCAAGGTCTTTCAACTTATTATACCCAAGCCATTTTCTTTATCTTCAGTTATTATATTTTTAAAAATAAAATTGTATAGCAACCAGTACATATTGTGAAAGAGCATGATATTTTCAGTGAGAATGGCTGTGAAACTTACGATTTGTTAATATCAAATGATTGGTTAAAACAGGAAGTAGTAAAATGTTTAAATGTTAAATATGAGACTAAAGCAAACTATAAAAATACTATACGAGAGACTTGACCTTACACTTGTTTGTATTGTAACATATTTTGAAAATATAGACCATTCAACGAGCTTATCCATATCCATAGAAAGTTTCATAAATTGAAGAGACATTTAGACTGAAAATAAAACCAGTATGTTTTTTCTTGTTTCTGTTAGATGTACTGTATTTAACTTAACAAACATCTAATTATAATCAAAGGTTTTACATGTACATGTAGGGTTTACACACAAAAATACTAAAACTATTTTTTGCCTTCAACATTTTTTTAAAATTAAAAACCCAACATAAGGTAATGGATTTTATGTGAAATTGTCTTATTTTGGCCGCATATTAATTCTAGATGTTACATAAGAATCATATTAGAGCTAAAAAGTAATGAACATTATTTTGAGTTCTGAAAATGTATCTAGCTTTCATATGACAGGCACCAGAATAATCTACGATCGAGCATTTCTGATGCAAATGAGAAATTCTCCGGTAACAAGAACACCTCCCAAGAATCTTCCAGACATACCAGGAGTAACTAGTCCAAGCTCAGGGAAGGTGAAGCCAATTCAGAATGAAACTCCACCAAGGACAAGGGCATCAGAAAAAGAAACTGGTATACAGAAGTCTTTTTCTATGAATAGTATTTTGTAATTGAAATATAAAACCAAAAGTATTGTTGAAAAATAGCTTTTATTAACTATAGATATTTCAGTTGTTATTGATAAGTCGAACAATAATTAGATTCTGTGAAGACTGTGTTGTAGTTACTGTAATAGTACATGTTTACACTAATTTGTATATACAGTAGGCCTAATTGTAAACTCATGCATTGTTAATAAATATTTTTATTTCCACTTTTAATATTAGACTTAAGGCTTATGTAGATATATTACACATAAATATAATTTATGTAGGTATGTATACACATATATATATATATTTTTTTTTTTACACACACACACATATGTGTGT